AGTCACTAACATTTAGTATCATTATTTATTCCTATTTTTGTCTCTACTTACTTTTTCATACGCATCTTCCAGAAATTCAATGGGACTTTTCCCGAACGCGATGGCGTGACCCAGGAAGGGGATGCTGGAGGGGATGTACGGTGGATGTTTCTGCGGGAACAAGACACAAAGCACCGTGAGTGTTCACAGCGTCACGAAGTCTCGCTGGGCTTCGCTCGTCTCGCTCACTCACCAGGTCCGGTCCAGAGGAGGCCTGTCTGAGCAGCAGCTTGGAGACATATCCCAGAGTGAGGGTGATGACGGAGGCGGCCAGAACCACCGAGGTCAGGTTCTCGTTCACTTTGCCCACAGTGTCCCCGAGCAGCTTGCTGCTCAGCTGGTACAAGTGCATCGACATGTCGGCTGCAGGATGACAAGTTTCCCTCGGACACTGATCCTGGAGCAGCCGCTCTGCGAGTGAGCGAGGAGGGAGTTGGAGAACAGCTAGCGGCTAGCAGCTAACGGCTAACAGCTGCCCCTGCTCTGCGGCTCGCGCTCGGGACACCCCGAGATATTCCTCCAGCATCTCTACCTGTCAGCTCTGGTCCTGCCCCCGCCTGACCAACGCAGCCCTCCTATTGGCTGCTCGCGGCGTGTCCGTCAAGCAGCCGCCGCCGTGATTGGCCGGCACTACCTGAACCCATGTCTTGCTATATGACGTCACCGCCCCCGACAGGGCGAGCACTCGGTTGTGCGTTTTTTTTTTTTCCCGGGAAATCTCTGTTGAAACGTGTAGATTCTCCAACAGCCCGGAGTTTCTGCTGCTTTCAAATTCATCTTATTGTTAAAGAAATATTCCTGGCATGTTGTTTATTCAGAACAGGAAGTGATCAGCTGTAGTTTGAGGCTGATCAGTGTTAATGTTCCATTAAATCAGTTTATTTATCAGCTCAACCAAAACACAGTCACGTTCAAAATCTAAATATGTTTTAAAATGTTTTAGGTCAAATCAGTGTTCAACTGAAAAATCAAAATTTAAATGTGTTAAATGTAGTATTGTAGTTATAATATATAATTTTCATCAGTAGCATTATGTCAAATATATATTGATGTATTATGTGTGCATTGTACAAACAGTGAAAACATAAACGTGTCTTTAAATTTAAAAGAAATAATCATGTGACATTAATTGGGATAATTATCGACTGATGTGAAAATGTCTTATCTGGATTATATTTTTGCCCATATCACTAATGTATTTCTACTTTTAGTAGAAGAACATTACAAGAAGAACTCAGTATTTAGAATGCAGCCTCTATGTTCGCTATAAAACTATTTTCTAATTATCTAAAGATGTAATAATCTAATATCTGTTTTATTAAATATCAAACTAGTATATCCCAGATTATGCAAAGCAACCCCCCTTAATTATCAATTTAAAGATATTTGATCTGCAGCTCTTGTGGTTTAAATAGTTCAAAAACAAGTTCATCCATACATCAGGCAGTTTATTAAAACAAAACAAATTAAATAATCAATATATTTACATGACATGAAAATGTATGACCTGTCAAAATACACATTTTGAAGTTGTGAACGATAATGTTGAGCCTAATATTCCACATGTGGAGGAGCTGGCTGATCTCTGTCCTTATAGCTGGTGATGAAAGTCAGCGTGAGAAGAATCTGCACAGGGATGTTTGGCAGCTGTTGGTTTCTTCCGGCAGTTCTCAACCATAAGCGTATTTATCTGTTACAGCTTTATCATTTGGAGTCATCTGTCCACTCAGCTTCATTAAAAGCTTCACAATAAGGCCCGCCTGTGAAGAGGTGATTGGCATCAGAGTATTAGTGACAGTAAAAAATGTATTTTAACATGAAAAGCCTGTTTGCATATTATTGAGTTTTGTAAATTGGCTCTAGGCTGCTCATACCTGTTTTGTGTGCACAATGAAGTTCATTTTGTTGTCACCACTGTGTATCTGGAAGTACTGGTCAGCGTGTCCAAGCTGCCACATGAACGTGCCATACTCTAAACTGATGAGAAGGACCTAGGAGTGCAGAGATTTAACATTTTAAAATATGAAATCATGCACCTCATGTTCAATTAACAAATAAACCAAGCCTATTCATGGGGTTTCAATTATTGCAATCCTGGACTATAACTATTAATTGACATATTATAACCAAAACACATGGTACCTTGGTCTCCATATTCATGAGGTGCAGCCCCTTCGTGTTGACCCCGACGTACACTCGGATGACTTTGTGGTTGCTGGCGCTGGCCTTGGTGTAGACCTGGCCTGTAAAGAAAGCCGCTCCGTAGGTTGGGATGTCCCAGCAGTTCTGCAGGAAGAGTCGCTGCAGGTGGTGCATCTCTTTGCTCAGCCCCTCACTGGTGCTCAGGGCCTGTCGGAGAGCAAACAGGCTTTGAGTAATGTCAGGGAACAATTGCACGATTTTTCAAAGAATTTTTCTTCTCAAAAGAATTGAGTGTACTTTGTATTCGTGAAGTATCCTGTTGGTCCAGTGGTACGCTTTGCTTTTCACCTTTGATATCGGCACAATAGATTTCAGGTTTTCCTCACTGTTGAAAATAGAAACACACAAATGCAGCGTTTTGCTTTATTCAGTTCCCCAAATTGTCCATTTCTGAAGCCTGACGTACTAGAGACAAAAAGCTTTATCTTATCAGAGCTGCATGTATTAAAACATAAGCTTTTACTTGAGGAAGCCTTGCTTGTGCTTTTTGCTCTCGTAGTTGCCGTAGATGATCTGCAGGAGGAGGCTGGCCAGAGTGATCAGCTTGCTGTCCAGAGCAGGGAAGAACCCCTTCAGGAGGCAGTGACGAGCCTCATCGAAAAGGATGAGGATGGCCAGAGGATCCTCCACCTGGAACAGTATGTGGCAGAGTGAGGAGTTTTCAACAAACATTACAAGATGTACTGAAATTAGCAGCCTGTTGTAAAATGTGATCTACCTTTTTCTCGATTTCAAGAGGCAGCCGGACATCCCTGCGGAGAAATAGCTGAGGCGTCTCCCTCTGAGGATCCAGCACCGTCAGGTCAGTCACGATTTCAGTCCAGATCCGCAGGTGCTGCAGGGGCTTATGGTACGGCTTCAGCTGCAGGTCTGTCACACACACACACACACTCACATATATCAATTTTCCCATTTTAATGCTTGGTTGTGGTCGGTTTCGTAGCCACTGGATGAATGTGTGGACTCACGGAGGTTCTCGGAGCAGATCCAGATGGTGAAGTACTGCTGGGTCTCCTGAGAAAGACGCATGCCCTCCATGATCTGCTGTACCGTGGTGTTGTTGCCGTGCTTCAGCTCCACAGAGCGGTACGAGCCGTCCATGCGGTAGATGCGCACCTTCTCATACTGTGGAAAAAACACGCACACATGCAGATCATAAACAAGTCAAGTGCAACAGCTTAAAATAGTTTCTCTTTTTATATCTCGATCTAGGAAAAAGCACCATCTAGTGACCAGCATATGTAACTGTTTTTCCAACATACGCCATATTCATTTCACATATGCAAGCAGATGCTATTGAGGAATAACAGGCAACATGCATGCACACACATTTACTATGTACCATGACTTAAAAATATTTTTTTTCACTTTGTCGTCACATTTGCATCACTAACAGATGAATTGGTGTCTGATGAGCGACTCACAGGTTTGCTGCTGGCCTGCTGCAGAAGCTTCATCGTCTCCTCCCATTCGTTCTGCTTGTTCTCCTCACACACTTGTAGAGGTGATCTCTTCTGCTGGTCTTCCATGTGCTGTTGGTGATATGTACTTGTTTATCGTCAACCCTTGTAGCTCTATCATGACATCTAGTGTGGTGGTGATCACATAGCACATACAATGTGTTTTTGAATTCCTACTACTGAGCAATTACTTGGAAAAAAGGAATCAAACTTACATTAAACTTCTCATCTAAGAAAAGAAATATTCAATATGTCAATATTTTTAATTTAATTTAATTAAATAACAGCTCAGGTTAAGGTGAAGAGTTTTGCCACGTTTTTCTGTGTTATTTAGTTTCTGAGGCGGATATTAAGGTTGAAATATTACATGTGTTTACATAATTCCTGATATGCATGCAGCTGCAGCATTGACAACAGGTTTGTGTTAAAATTATACAAGACATCTGATAATCATATTGGGGGAAAAAAGAAGAGGAAGCAAGGGTCAAGACGACGTAAGCATCACATTTCATACCCGATCGATCTCAGAGTGCTGCAGCAGGAGTTGCACGATCTCCGCGTGACCTCCTCTGGCTGCAAAGTGCAGAGGGGAGCTGAGCTGACCGTTCAGCAGGTTCGGATTACAGTTACCTTTCTCCAGCAGCAGCTTGGTTGCCTCGACTTTGCCGTGCCTGAATGAAAGCAAACAAATGCGAATCATCGTTAACGAGACAAAGGAAAACAAAAGACATACGGATACTGCAGACTCTCTCGTCACACTCACCAGCAGGCATAATGGATAGGAGCCCAGTGGTCACTGTCCAGCTGCTTGACTGAGAAACCGCTGTCCAGAAGCTTCGAGAGCAGCTCTGTGTCTCCTTCACAGGCGCTGCGGTGGAGAGGAAAGTCGTCCACCCACTGCCGCTCCCTGCAGAGACAGGAACTTTGTGTTGAATGTCATATTTTACAGCAAACAATAGAAGCTGTCAGCAGATGGCAGTAGGGACAGTGTGGTTCATTGAAAACTCCTCACTTGTCTTCTGTCACACAGTTGGAGCCGTGCTGCCACTTTTCCCTGTTGGGGATCTGGATCTTAGAGTAGTCCGGAGCTCCGAGCCCAAAGTATGGGTTGATAATAACTTTGTCCACCTGTACAAAAGAGGACAGAGAGTCTATATCATTAAAAACTATATATTATATGGTTATTATCCATCTAGAAGTCTCTTCTGGCATAAAAGTCTGCCTGATGTCATGATAGAGATACATCTTCCTTTACAAATTGAGCAGCTGTGGCTAAGAAGGTAGAGTGGGTCATCCACTAACCAGAAGGATGGAGGTTCAATCCCCGGCTCCTACTAAACCCTAAATTGTCCCTGACCCTGAGTTTGAATCATGTGTCTTCACATCTCTTTCACATATGAAGAATGCAGCAGGAGATTGTCTGGGTCAAGCTCTCTCACCCGGTTGGTGTACTGCAGATCTGAGCCGTACAGTGGGTTGAGGATGCACATGTCCGCCTTCTCCAGGGACATCATCTTGCTCTTGATCTCCAGAGCAGTGTAGCCCATGTGCAGACCCTCGTCACTCAGCTTGCCCTCACTGTTGTAGGCCGGGTTGCTGACGTTGGTCTTCACCCGCTCTACGGGTGCCGGCCTGAACAGGGCGGGGATAGCGTGAGGTATGGTGTGCTGCTCTGCTAACCATCTGCGGAGGTCAAAGAGGAAAAGTTAAAGCCTCATCCCCGCGTTATTAAAGAGGAGTGTGTTTTCAAATATATCCTCACTTGTCTAAGGCCAGGAGCATCTTGGAGGTGATGGGGCAGAAGTGAGCGCTGGTCTCACTGCAAACCCGCATGATGTCCTGGAAACAGTAGAAGCTGGGGCTCCCGGCGCTGTAGACAGGCTTGCTATTGTCTGTTTAGAAAGACTTATGAATACACAGTGTGTAGAGTTTATAATGTACTTCACAAAATCTGAAATTGTTTCTTTACTCACCTTTAACACTGACTGGCACAACGAACAGTGAGATCTCTTTCCCTTCATTGATTCCATCGAGAGGAAATTTCTTCATGTGCACCACTCGCTTTCCTGCAAATCCAAACTATTTAGAAGAGAGTTTTCCAATCCTCTAAAAACTCCTGATGAGAAGGTAATTTCACATTTAAGAGATGTGCAGCCTGTGACAATAAATAGATTAAAGCTTCACTGAAGTTTTTGCAGTAAGTCATTTGTTGATTTTTAAAAGTAGAAATAAGCTGCAGTGTAAATACCAGACTCACCTATGAAGCCTTGATTATTGGATATTGGTCGGATTGTTTCGTCAACATAATCCAATATGGATTTAGATTTGTCTCCTGCAGCTTGGATCTTTGTCGCCAGGAGGACTTTCTTTCTTTTCTTCTCCTTCCCTTCCAAAGGCACTTCAATCAGCAGGATCTTTACAGGAACCAGAGGGAATAAGCAGTGTTTTCTTTTTTGTTGTTTTAAACTAGATCAACTGTCAGACTCGGCACATTTACCTCATAGGCTTTGGCTCTGTACTCCTTTGAGCTCAGGCTGACTTGACTCTTTGGGCGGATGACGGCGACAAACACATCTTCTAGGCAATCCTCGTTGCCCATCGTGCCGACCTTTCCTCAGTTCCGACAAAACATCCTACGTGACGGCCAAATGCTGTGCAGAGGCATGCCTGCCACAGAGGGTCACACGTGGAGAAAATATGAGTTCATAGAATGTGTAAAGCGTAGACCGTCATCTATGATACTTGATAATGTAATGTGTTATTCTAATAGGGAATTAACACTGTTATTTTCATGATTGATTAATATGCCTATTATTTTTTAATTTAATTTGGATCAGTTGCTTTGTTTATTAAATGTTATGAGGTCAAAATATCCATTATAATATTCTCTGAACACAAAGAAACATTTTTATAATAATCTTGCTGTATTTGACCGTCAGTCCAAAACCCAAAGATAGTTACTGTACAGTCAACTGCTTTAAAATTACATTAATTATCCACAGTTGTGATAATTGATGAATCTACTAATAGTTTGAACACTTACAAAACTACTACTACCACTACTACTACACTACTACTACTACTAATAATATTAAAGTTAATTTATATAGCACTTATATTAACAATGTTTTAAAGCACTTTAAAAGAAATAAACAATATAATAAAACAATGGAAAATGATCAGAGAAAATAGAGCAATAGATAGATAGATGGAATATTCCCACGTTTATAATACATTATGAACATATACATTTACAATATAGTAAGCACTTAAGGTTTCACTTTCAAACACAAACGTTGACTTAAAAGTGTTTAAGTAATAAAATAGAAAGTCAATTGAACAATAACAGGCGAATAAACCACTGTGTGAAATCTCTTAATTATATCAAGTATTTCGGTTTGAATCATTAGTTTGAATCATTAGTTTGAAAAAACAACAACTTGTTGAGTTGATAGATGAGGTCCCGCCCCGGAAACCAAACTCTGTGGTCTGTACACAGTTATTACACTGAATATAAAACAAAGTGTTTCACATTAAACTCCGTGTTGACTCGTTGGTCCCTTGTTATTCCTGCACAACAACCACGATCAGGTTTTAGTCGTGAATCCTCCGGGAGGCTTCAGACTAACTCTCATCACCATCACCGTGTTTTCCGCCTCTTCAGCGGCTCAAACTCACCGAAAGCGACGCGTCTCGTCCCCGAACAAAGTCAGTCTGTTCCCGGGTCTCGCGGAGGGTTTGCCTGGTTAATTTGACGGTGAACAACCGGGACTGAGCTCCGGTTAAACCTCCAGGGCTGATCTGTGTGTGTTGAAGCGGCTACAGGCCTTTCATTTTGGGGCAGGGCTGCAGAGACCGACCGAGGAATCACGTTTCAGATCAGGAAACAGAGAACTCTGGTGGTGAGGGGGACTCAGTGCACACACACACACACACACACACACACACACACACACACACACACACACACACACACTCACACACACACAAGCACAAGATGTTGTGTCCATGTGTTGTTGTTTCATCATATAAAATTACTGTAAATTAATTTTCCCCAAACTTCTCCTGGCTTCTTCAATTTGAAATTATTATTTGAAAACATAATAAATAATAAGAATGAGAATTTAAAATGATATTCAGGAGGTTTGAAATAGTTTGGACTGACTTAACTTTTTTTTCCAGAGGAGACTGATTTGTATGTGCTGCAAGAATATACAGTCCGACATATAAAGTTATAAATTATATTATTAATGGCAGTACATACTATTGGTGTTATATATATTACGGATGATGAAAAGTATTATTACATTCTGAATTCAGAGGTATGCCCTTATTGCAAATTTTACTTAAACATAAACTTTAGAGTAGATAAAAATTATTTCACAATACCACTTACTAAACTGATAGTTTATGCATTTTAATTGAGGAGATTGTATAAAACATCAGCATTTATTGGTTTGTAGCACAAAGCAGCTGAAACAAACAGTGGTCTCTTTGAAACAATAATAAACAATAACAGTCTGGACAAATGATGACATTTTGAGAAAACAATATCAAGTGCAGCTCAATTGTACAAATGCAAACATAGTTTTGGTTTTTATATATATTTACGTTGTAATATAATCTTTTTTCATTGGTCCACAGCTGAGAGTACAGACGATGATCCCCGTGTTGTCACCGTCAGACCCAGAGAAAGTTCTCTCTCTGTTGGTCCATGTTCAGGTCGACTTGTCTTTGCACTGACTGAGCACCTCCTGCATCTTCCCCTGGATGTCCTCCACCCTCTTCGCCCACTTGTCTCGCACCTCGTCTTCATCGTCCTCTGTAACAGCTGTGTAGGCCATGAGTGCGATGAGGCCCATGTGGAACAGGTGGGCGATGTGTGAGCAGCGGTGCTCCATGATCTCGAGGTCACCATCGCAGTTCTCCATGTACACCTTCAGCAGGGATCTTCCAAACAGCGTCTTTGTACCCATCACGCCGCTGTAGTACACGTTCAGGCTCAAGTCGCTCTTGTCTCTCTCGTATATCTTCTCAAACTTCTCCATGTGTTGCTGGGTCTTGTCCGGGTCCTTCTTCACTTGCGCCACCATCTCGTTGAAGGCCGTGTACTGGTGCTTGATGTACTCCTCGTACTTGCCGTAGGTTTCGTTCACCTCATCGATGCGGATCTTCCTCAGGCATTGCAGGTTCTTGTGTGAGATGGTCTCAAGCTTGGTGCGGATCTCCTTGAAGTCCTTGTCCAGAGCGTGGGTCTCCTCATCGACCAGGCCCTTGCGAGCCACCCCGACCAGGGAGGAGACGATGCCGAAGATGGGGTCTATGGAGGAGGCGAAAGAAGACACCTTCTCCACACAGCACAGCACCTTAGCTGCAGTTTTCTTAATCTGTGCTGCATCAGCCATCACTGGTGCTTTTCTTCTGCCACTTTAGGGTCCACACAAAGTGAGTCTGGAGACTGGAGAGGTAAAAGGAAAAGTCAAACATCTGATCACAACCTTTGTGGACAGTAAAATCACATTTTAACTCAAAACTAGGTCCGAATCAAATGTTTCCTCTTCTTGCTTAGACTTAACATCATATGTGGCTGCTCTGCCTGCAGCCCACATGTCACCCGCTGCTGCTGCGCCGTATTGTCAAAGGTGTCGTCTTTCACGCTTATGTTACTCACAACCAGTCGCCCACAGTGTGGGCTTGTGTTGTCGGGATACACACTCAGCTGACACGTGTGAGCTGAGGGAGGAACGGAAGGAATTAATAGTTTGATTATTATTGAAATCTGCCGTTATTTTTAAAAAAAGGCAGAAAATAGAAAAATATATTCATCATAATTTCTCAAATTGAATCGAATAAAATTTTTGTTGTTAAACTTATATATCACAAATAACTAGGATGACCAGCAAACATTTCGGAATGCGAATTATCATGATTGCTATAACTAAGGTCCAGTATTACAGAGGACACCTAAATCCAACTGTTATGAATGTTTGTCATAGTTTGGGCATTAATCATCCTCCTCAATGCTGCTCTGCAGGACAAAATACTCAGGAACAGTGGGTGTGACTTGATTAGTAACACAAGAAAGACCTGAAATAGACGTCTACAGGTTGAGACCTTCATTCATCCTCTTCACCAGTTTTAATAACCCTCAGCAGCTGTTTTGAACCTTTAACTTTAACTTCCAGGATCTGCTGCTGTTTTGTTTTCCAGCTTCTTTCTGTCATTTCCTGATTTCCAACACACACACACACATGAATCCACCACCCAGTCTTTCAATTTCATTTCACCAATCCCAGCTGATTTAGCTGTTACCCAGAATTCCCATCACCCATCAAATAAGAGATTACAGAGAAGTGAGGCAGCAGATTTTTACTCACCAGAGATTAAACTGTTGGTCTCTCTCTCTCTCTCTCTACAGCAGCCGTCTGACTGTGCTCTCCACCATTTTCCTCCGTTGTCAACAACAGGACAGCCCCCTCCGGCCAAGTAAGGGAGTGAACATGAGGAAGTGACTCATGCACCCTGTGCTGATTGGATGAGAGGCAGTTCCTCCAGATGCACTGCAGCGTCATGCTGAATGACAGGCCATCCTCTCCATTGTGGTGTTTTAATTACAGGTCCACACACAAACCTGCATCAGTGATACTCACACACCACAGAGAAGATCAGGAAACACAGAATGATGCACTTTAATCACCAGGACACAGAGTCACCGTCAGTATTTTCTGTGTCTGAGTGTTGCTGTGGATTTATTTTTTCGTAGGAGTTAGTAAATACACAAAGACTGATATATAGAATACACTCATAGGGAATGAGGATGTGAAGGATACATCTACATTTACTCACTTTTGTCAACTGGTATCAAAGTAAGCAGAAGCTGTTTAAAAAAGAAATGGAAGGACGGGGGAACTAATATGCTTCATGAAGTTCATGAAGGTCTTTTGTTGATTAATTAATTTCATTAACTGGTGAATAAATGAGAATATGTTCTTTATTTTATTGCTTTCTTTCTTTAATGGTCCAGAAGTTCCTCCTCCATCTTCCTCTGGATGTCCTCCATCATTATGATCAGCGTCTCCTGTCTTTCACACTTATCCTCCACGGTAACAGCCCCCGAGGTCTCGAACATGGTCACACACGGTAAGTTAATTTAAAGACGATACAGAACGTGAGGAAAAGACAATTTAAAAATGCACCTAATTCTGAAAGTCTGTTGGACCTGTAGGAGTACATGAAACTATATGTATTACATGGAGATTTCATACTTTGGCATCATCTAGTGGTAATATGAAGAATGACACCTGCAAACATACATGCTCCTCCCCCTCAGCTTCTTGCTGCCTGTTCCTGTGACGAAGGTGATGGAGGAGTGAACATAGAGACGTCAGCCATAATGTTCTCTCATTTAGTCTCAGGGTCTTCTCTTGTTTGCACTTTACTTTTGTAAAGTAACTGTTCCCCAGTTACATGAAATTAAAATAGAATTTTACATTGACCTCATAGGCTTCAGACATAAATCATCCCACACAATTATTGTTTTAACTGTCAATTTAATAAACAGCATGTTGGTACTGAAAACAGCTTTAAGCTAAGTATTGAATTGGTTTTGTAAAACTTTGATTTCCTGGGTCTCACCTGAATTCACCTGATTATTATTATCTTAAAAGTATTGCAGGAATGTCTCTTCTCCACACTCCGGGTATTAGATCTGTACTTACAGCTGAACAAATACTATTCATCAGGACAAGGACAAGGCTGTTGTGTAATGTTTGACTTCCCACATAGTGATATGAGACAGGATGGGAAAACATCTGCAGATTTTACCATACTCTCTCTCTCTCTCGTTTACACACACACACACACACACAAAACGTACCAGTTACTTGTCAGATCAAGATTTTACACATCATACAGTATAATATATAAACACAGTAGATTGTTTAAGATGAAACACAAAACTATTTTGGTTCATTCCTCCAGTTTATCTTTGGAGGTGGTTTATGAACTATTAGACTGAACTATCCCACTGTGAATAAAATGAATAAAGTCATTTATTTATTATTCTGCTGACTCACTTATAACATCATTTACATAGAGAAGCTGCTGTGAAGACAGAATGTACTCGTCCTTCTTTTACTTAATGTCTTTTACTTCTGCGTCTCTGTTATATTGTCCACCTCCTTTTGGTAAAGCTGTGGACAAACAAAGCCAAAACGAAATTCTTAAACTATTATGTTATATCCAAAAATATGTCTTTGTTAAATCTTAAATCGAAATTCATTCATTCATTCGTTCATTTTTCTCGACTGGGATCATTACAATCTTATCGATACCTTCCCTCACTGATACCTTATCAGTATTCTGCCGACTTTTATAAACTGATAAGCAACACTGTGGGAAATCCGTCAGCTGCAGCTGTGAGAAATTTGGGTTTTGACAGAATCACTCTGCTTAGATTCACATTTTGTGTTTTTAATCCTTTTCCCCTTCACTGTCTGAACTGGCTTTTATAAATAAGTTGTTATAGAAATGTCACAGAAGGTTAAACAGCCACAAAGTCAGTCCATTATGCCATGTGTCTCTGACCGAGCATAAATGAGGGACGTGACCAGATGAATACCCCCTCACACACAAACACACCCCTCCACTTGCACCCCAGCGTGCTCACATACAGCTCGGCTCCTCTATGGTATTTCCCACAATAACATCCCGGGTCGACACACTGACTCTGTCATTTTGCCTCTGACCCTTGCACTCTTCTCTCCCTCTCTGTCCCTCTCTCTGTCCGTCACCCTCCAGGCACCCGGACCAGTCTGAGGATAAACGCCTCCAGGTTTCAGGTATGAACCCGGAGCAGACAAGAGCAGCACAGAAACGCATCAGCAGGTTTGACACAGGAGCAGTGGACGGTTTGTTTCGGTTTCGGGATTAGAAAGCTTTAGGCCTGCCATTGAATTTGCCTGGAGGGGAGAGCGACCGCAGCCTGGACTGGGATCAAATGATTTCCACTGTTTGTTGCTGTTTATTCTCATATATGCATATTTTAAAGCATTTCTATTTATCTAAGAAGAAAGAAAATAAAGACTGACTAAATGTATGCATTCCAAAAAGCTAACCTCTTGCAAAATCTGTCCATTTATTTATGTGTATGTCCCTAAACTAAGTAAATGTTACTACTATGCACAGCTGCTGGTGCGTCCATCACACTTCTACACTTTGATTCCATCCAATTAAATGTTGAGCTCAGTTGTATTATTGTTGTCTTTACCTCTGTTGATCATAGACGCTGTCATCACAACAGAGGAATAAATATGAGCAACATGAGAGGACGTCCGGTGAAGATGTTCACTGAGCTGATCGTCCTGCTGGGGTGAGTGAAGTCCTGTCATACTGATTCCTAATGTAAGACACACTCACCTTTAAGAATTTAATTTTATTAATTTAATTTAGAACAACTTTGACTTAAACCACAAAACAGATGACTGTCAAAGGTTATATGCATATAATATACTGACGAATTAATAAATATATACAAATATACAGAAATGTCTGAAAAAACACAGTGTAATGAAGCCATGAAGAAAATATTCACAATTAATGGATAAGAAATCTAACAGATACAAATATATTTATTTCGGTTATTATTCTCCATAGTTATTGTTTCGATTATCTTATATATATTTGACATTCTCTGAGAACAGGTGAACCATTATAACACATTCCATTATATTTCAGCGTCATTGGTTTGAGTTATGGTGCCATTCAGAGACCTGATTATGATGATACTCCCAACCCGGAGTTCCTCAACCCGTCCTGGATGGCCAGTATCCCCGATGATCAGCCGCTGTCTGAGGTCACCATGCCTGGGACCCACAACACCATGGCCCTGTTCGGAGGTGTGTACGCTGAGTGTCAGACCTGGAGCCTGGCCTCCCAGCTCCAAGCAGGTGTCCGCTTCCTGGACGTCCGTGTGCGTCACGTCAAGGGGAACCTCACCATCCATCACGGGGTGTCCTATCAGCGGGCCCACTTTGGTCATGTCCTGGAGGGTGTAGCTGACTTCCTGCAAGAGTTTCCCAGTGAGACGGTGCTGATGCGTTTAAAGGAGGAGTACAGTGAGACGTATGACATCTATGGGGCTGTCGTAAACTACATCCACCGCTACGCTCACTGGGACCTGCTGTGGCACAGCCGGCTGGTGCCAACCATGGGAGAGGCCCGAGGGAAACTCATCATCCTGCAAGACTTCTCTGGGCCAGACCTGGGGATGCGCTATGGCTCCCTCGACATAGCAGACGACTGGAAGGTATGAAAAGTTATGATTCTTTTTCATAATTCAATGAATTAGCTTTTTTAGATAAAAAGGAAACCATAGGAATTATAATTAAAAGACAGAATTTCTCAATACACATAAAAATAATGCTGATGAAAACATAACCTCTTTGGCAGAGGAGACTATTTTAGAATCTTGTTGGTAGTTCAAAGTTTTCTTTTCCATCTAGGTCCCTACTCTGGTGCACGTGGAGGAGAAATGGCAAAGTGTCCATGGCCACCTGGAGGCTGCGCCTGCAGGAAACAAGGCCCAGATCTTCCTCACCTTCAGCAGTGGAGCCGGTGTGTTTGCCTTCCCCAGAGCCATCGCTCAGCGCATCAACGCACAGCTGTACGACTACCTGAGCGCCAAGACGGACCTTAACCAGCGCCTTGGGATCATATGCATGGACTTCCCTGCTGCTCCCATGATTCAAATGATCATTGACTTCCAACTAAAAGAGGTGACAAAGAAGAGACGGGACTTTAATCCAGTTCTTAGCAAGGGGAGTTTGAAATATACATTTCCTCCACAGTGGAAGAAGATGAGGAAACATTTGAATATTAATGTTTAAGCCAAAATCAAGTATAGGGAACAGTAGATCACATCCACTAGAACCATCACTATGGAAACCAAATACAGTTGAAGCTTCGATAACTTAACAACTTTAGAGCAACAAACATGATTAAAATTATACTTCAGACAGAACTTGTCATTGTGTCATTCAGCAAAGATACTGGAGACAAAATAAAAGTCACATAAATGGCATCATGTGGAGAATTTGTGCTGTAATAAACTGCTGTGGAACCAGATAATGTGTTTTATTGGTCACTTTTCTTGTGCATCACCTGTAAACCTTGATGCAGCCATGTTTCATTGTCACTGCTGCAGAGATGCCAGTCGGCTCTAACGTCTTACTTGTGTCCGAGACAAAGGGAACAGGTGTGTCAGCTTTTGTGTCAAACCCAAACTGTCACACATGCTTTGCTCCAGTTGAGCCTCATTCTACCTGAAGCAGAAAACTAATTTCACCTCTTATGTCTGCCTGGTTTACTCTAACCTTAAAAGCACTTCATTAGTTTACTCAACATTGAAAAAAGACACTTTAACTTGTGTTTATGTGTATTAAACACTGAAATATTAGAGTATGATTGTGAGATCTGAGTATTTCTTTCCACACTGATGCTGAATATACATGATTTCCTCACTGTGTACTCTAACTAGTGAACCACAGAGTCCTGTGAAATTTAAAATTTCAAGTGTGGTTGGTGGCTTAAAGCGCAAGTTGCCTGCAGATGGTTTATATCAGATAACAGTGACACATTTTATCATCAGTTCCTCTCAGTTAGATGCAGAAAGTTTTGCGAAACAGTTGTTGAAATGCTTTGGCTTGAAACATCGTGTCTTAACATCCTGCCCAGTGTCAACTCTCCACTTAGTGAAGCCTGGAAGAAGAAAAAGGCCTTAAAGTGTGTCCACTCACAGCTGAACAGGTAGGAGCACAACTCTTCTGCTGCAGATCTTCTGGTTGATATTTAATAATTTATTTAATATCTCCTGTCTCTCTACAGTGATTATGAATCCGTCTCCAGAAGAAGAATTTGTTCCTAGAAATGCTGTGTTGATTTCAACATTTGGTTAGAGTCCTGTCCTCCATCACATTCATTTCCTTTCACATTGTTTAATCTGTTTTACTGTCCTGCTGACTCTCCGTCTTTCTTGTAGTGGTGGTGAATATTATTTGGTGGATGGTTATGATTGCAGGCATTGGACTGGGTAGGTGTTTTTATGTTGTTGTTTTTGGCCAAAGCCGGAATCTTATTCATTTGTCAAAACTTCAATAAACATATTTTTCTGCAGGAGCTACACATCTGCACCGTTGTCCAGTACAACCCAACATTCCCGTCTTCCTGATGGTGATGGGGGCGGCCAGCCTCCTCTGTCTTTCTCTGACCTACACCAGGAGCGACAGGAGGGAAGGCACAGTCTCCATCCTGAGTTTGTCGTTCACCACGCTCATGTACCTCTTCAGTTTCTGCTGGTTCATTGCAGGTGGGAAAAAATGGGAGACAGATGTTTCAGATTTTAGCTTTCAATGATGGTTAAAACACGAAAAAATCTTGAAAACTTGGTCTCAAATCATTGATTTCAAAGTGTTTCTCTAAAACATGTGAGTATTTGTGACTAAATTGGTGACAATCACTGTTAAAGGCCCCTGAAAATGCATGTTCCTCTGTTGTTGCTACTGTTAGATGGTATCCTGCGTGAGATTGATGTGTCTTCAACTCAGAATTGAATGAAATTGATGTCAGTGTTGCTCTCTGTTCCCTGCAGGCACCACCTGGGTTTACTCTGTCTATCCTCCCAGCTACACACCAGGAGAAGCTCTGTACTGCCACAAGACAACCTTCCAGTTTGCCTTTGCTGTCACCACCCTCACGTGGATCTTTCTGACGCTCATATTAGTCATTGGCTGTTGCTTGGCTGTACTGACCTGCTGCAAGACTGTGAGGGCAAGACGCCATTTGATTCCCAACCGCAACACTTTATATGGTTCTATACGCGATTCTGCAGAATACACAGTTGGTGATGTGTGAAATAAATCCAGGTTTGTGTAGTGAAAGTTTCCCCAAATTTGATAAATTCTGCTCCTGTTGCTTCGGGTTATTTTTTAAAATTATTTCTGTTTTTTGTATAATTATAAAGTAGTTGTAAAAATGGCTTTCAATCACTGGATAAAGCCATAGACTGTATATAAAGATAAAGCACATCTCTCAGATGCTCCTGAACACATCATCAGTGATGTAATCTGGGTGTTTCAGGTCTTTCAACATCAGACACCCTCGCCCATGTGTGTGTGTGTGTGTGTGTGTATATTTTCACATGTCAAAGTATGACATGTTGTTTTTCTGTTACAGCTCACATGGCAGCTCTGTCTTTACATCACATTTTTTAATATTCTTTTACAAATTGCATGAATTCTGATTTTCTGACAAGGACTCTAAAGATTATGCAATTTAAAAAAAAATTGTGTTTCTAAATTTCTGTCTTTATTTTAAATTCTCTGTAATGTGTGTTTGAGTTTTTGACTTTCTATACAAATAAAATGGGTTAATATTATGTATATGACTATTAAAACAAAAAATCTATCTCTGTATCTATCTGTCTGTCTGTCTGTCTATCTATCTGTCTGTCTATCTATCTATCTATCTATCTATCTATCTGTCTATCTATCTATCTATCTATCTGTCTATCTATCTATCTATCTATCTGTCTATCTATTTCTATTTATTTATCTATCTTTCATTTTCTAAGGTGGTGACTTAAATTTCAGGCTTTGTTCGGGGCAGCTGTTGCAGGTGCGCGGGGTCCTTTGACGTCACTAGAAAGCGACGCTGGTTAGCTAGCGTGTTTGCTGCGGTCACCTAATCGGTGACAGTCGGATCCACTCCGGGATAAATTAAACACACAGAGACAATATTTAACCTCGTGGAGATTCGTCTGTACGAACCTGCTACGCGGTGTTTGTCTGCGGTGTTGCGGGAACATGTGGAGCTCAGGCCGCCGCGTCCTTCACGATGCGCTCGCTGCTTCTGTCAGGAGTTTATCTCTGACTCCTGCTCAGGTCAGTGACTGATACTAAATCATTCATTGTGTGTTTTTCACCTCAAGCTTGGTCTTTGCGTTGTTGAATAAAAACCTGACTGAACGAGAAGTTGGACATGTTCTCAAACTTGCATTTATAGTCCTACAACATACAAAACAACTGTGTGGCTCTGGGAAAACCTCACAAATCCCATAAAACACACAACTCTATTACTGAGCTCCTTCAGTGAAACCCACTGCACTGATCCTGCACAGACCATAATAATCATTTCCAGTGTCCTTCGGGATAATGTATATTTCTTGCAGTCTCACAATGTGTATCAGCTTTTCCATCAAGTAGATTTCTTCCACCATCAGTGACCATTTCCACTTTACTTCCATTTCCCTACAGGGTCTTTTCCTGTCAAATCTTAATTAGAAACTTAAAAATTAGGTTCCATTGGTTTTTCAAAAGGATCTGCGATGGTGCTGCCAAAAGGTGTGATGATAAATGAAGTATTTGTGGGGCTGTTTGTAAAATAGTTTGAAACATTGCACAGGACACAGGTCACCTGGTTTTCCCCCTGGACACGACAGAAGACTTGAAAGTGTGTGACATCATTTTCTGGTGCCTGATGTTTTCCACAGAACACAGTTGTGGTGGAGCGATGGTGGAAGGTCCCCTTGTCCAAAATAGGCAGCCCGCCGAGGCTTCACCCCCGAAGGCACAGAATCTACAAAGTAGTTGAAGACACCAAAAGGGCCCCCAGCGAGAAGATGGAGCTCATTCTGACTCAGACCGTACCGAGTGAGTATCTTCAGTGTATTTAACTGATCCATCAGGATTGTTTGGGACTTAGAGCTTTAGAGGAAGTAGTGAAATATATTAAAGGCCTAATATCAGAAATATTGGCTTCTGTTTGCACCGTCAACATGTCTTGTTTGTTCTGACAGAGCTCGGTGGACGAGGAGACACTGTGTTTGTGAAAAAATCAATCGGCAGAAACAAGCTGCTGCCACAGGGTCTCGCAGTGTATTCATCACCAGAGAACAAACAGATGTTCGAGGAGGAGTTAAGAGTGAGTACTGCTCCATGATGTTGTTTCATTTCTCCATCACATTACACCACAGAGCTATTTATCATTATCACCTTCTTTTTTCTACCCACAGCTTCTGCGTGAGGGGAGACCAGAGGACAGAATCCAAACCCGAACTGCACAAATGGTGAGTCTTGTGTTTGACCCTTCAAAGACTGTCCTCCTCACTACCAGGCTCTTCTGTCTCAGACGCAGATATTAACAAGTGACAACGGGTCAACAGTTTTCCAACAAATGTTTCCTGGTGGGTTTCTCTTACAGACACTAGATTTCCTCAAACGCTCAAAGCTGCAGATAAACAAAATGCCCTCTGAGGAATTCCAGCTCACTAAAGAGGTCGTCTGCCGACAGTTTCTGAAGAAGGTATGTCAGTCTTTGATTTTGCATCCTCATTTTAACCTGTACGTCCCCTCGTACATTATCCAGTCGGAACTTTAAGAAATGGGCTGTTTGACAAGTGTCTCTGTCATTGTGTAACTTTATTAAAACCTTTTTCTTAGCTGGGAGTTGTCGTGCCACCTCATGCACTGACTCTTCCATTTGAACCAATCAAGGAGTTGGGCGACTATTGGTGTGAAGTGACGGTAAGAGATGTTCTTTTCCTTTGCATCACATGCATGTAGCTCCAAGCTGTAGTGGTTAGTTGTTTGAAATGAGTTTGTTCTCATGGAAATAATACGGAGCCATCACATTTGTAATATAGCATGACAGTAATCATTTTTATGTTATTGCAAAATGCAGCAGCCGCATTAACTTGACAGCAGTTTTTGCTGTTGTCCTGCCAGAATTCTTAATCTTAATCTTTTTTATTATCTAGGTTAATGGAATAAACACTGTCCGTGTCCCAATGTCACTGATGCCATATGAAGACCCATCTGCATCTTATCAGCGGCAGATGAAGAGACAAAAGCAGCAGCAAGAGGCGGCAGCCGCACAAACTGCAGCGGCTGCTGAAGCAGATGAAGTTCTTATGGAGGCTGTTTCTGACGCAGCAGTGGAGGCTGAAGCTGGTAAAGACTCCGTGAGTCAAGTTAGAGAAGATTCAGCCTCAGCAGAAGCTTCTGCAGCTCAAGAAACAATCTCAGATACACAGACAACTCAAGATACAACAGCACCGCCTAGTGACAGCCCGAAAAAAGACTGAGGACTTAAAATGAAGATGTTCACACAACTGAAAATGGATTGTTTGTCTAAAATACACATTATACCTGCATAAAAACACAAGGACTCTTTTCAGAAAGGTTTCAAATGAATGGAAACTGCAGTGTCAAAGAACTCGTGGAGGATTAAAGTCTAACATGATTTAAATATTTTACCATGTGTAATGCCTGCATCATTGTGATTCTAGTAGTGATTTATAAATCTGTGATCTTCAAAGGTGCCAGGAAAGGAAAAATTTATTGATCAAATTTTAACGACACAACACGCATAACAAAAGGTAAAGAAATAAGGTCTATTCCAGCAGTTTCCAACTAATTAAGCATTTTCCCTCAAACATTCTGGCGTACTAGCAGTGGAAAACCCACATACAGATATTTCTAATTCATTTTGACACCAGATTTGTCTAAAACTGGAGCAGCAGAAAGAAATCTAGAACAAGCCTCCTCTCATCCAGGTTTAATAAAACATTAGGATCTTGCGTCGAGGTACCGTTAAAGAACTCATCAATTCAGGACTAAAGTTTATTGGGATTTGAGCAAAATACTGAAACTGAAAGATGCATGCTGGAGTCAGCCACGTAAAACTGAGGTAAAGGTCCTGAAAGATGTTGAAACGAAACCTGGTGCTTCTTGAGCAGCATCAGCACTGAGACTGAAAAGCATGTTTGGTTCTCTGGCAATTTATTTATTAAAAATAAAGAAAAACGGATATGAAAAACTTCTGCAAGCAAATCAACGTGTTTTTTTTCCAACATCTTTATTTTTCTTTACAAAGTTGTTGATTCAGTGTATAAATATGTATATCTGTGTTTCTATTGCCAGAAAACCAAACCTTTTCTATTGGGTCATCACAGAACAAAGGAAACATACAGTAATGTTCACCATCATGAACCGGAAGGATACACATTCAAAAGAAAACATTTGTGATGGCCAATTCAGGGTCACATTACATCTTCTCTTATCTACCACCGACTGACCAAAGATACCTTCAAAACACAGTTGCACTGTTGTACAGTTTGTAGATGTGCTGGTTTAGAAAATAAGTGAAGTTATGGTTTATTTAAGATAAACTATGGACAAAAGGAGAGGTTAACGTCTGTATCTTGAGTTTCGCTGTGGGAGTAACAACTTATCAGTCGAGCAAAAGGTGGATTGAGCCGAAGAGGGAAAATCTGTATTACGGTATTTCTACTCCCCGCCCCCAAAAAAACATCCTTCTGTTTGTTCAGGGAATCTGGAATTCTCTACTTTCTGATCCAGCGTTTCCACATGCCACCATGAGTCCACAGTGTGACATTTAGAAACCATATTTGGCCTGGGTCTGCCGGCGGGTTAGCTTGTTATCGGCCCAGCTGTTCTTCAGCTCCAGCTCACGCTCCTTCGCCTGTGAATAAAAGAAATACAGTGAAATTTTCACAAAGCTGAATCTCAAAACATTTCTTTCCAGCAAAAATATGACTTTTTTATGAGGGAATAGAACATTTCCAGTGTTTAATCTTTTATTTTTACATTTCAAACTTCATGATATAATTTAAAATTCCCTGTTGACAAATTTTTGGGAGAAACTTCTCTTGAGAGAAGCCAAAAGCTAAGTGAGTTTACAGACAAATTCTAAGCTCTGAATAAAAAAAAAAACAGCTCAGCAAAGCAAATAAATCCTGCGTGCTCATCCACTGAATACCATCTGTGGTGTCTGCAAATCAACAAAATAAAATAGCATGGAGCTGGATGTGTGCGGACATCTGGTATGTTGATAATAAAACTCTGACATCCACTCTAAACTGCATCCCCTTCACAACAAGCTAGAACAATTTTTGAATTTCAAATTTTGCAAAAACAATCCTGCACTATAGACTCCTGCTTTAGCTACAGTATCTTCTCTGTGGATATGTTATTGAAGCATGTCAAGGGCCACACTGACTTATCTCTGTTGAGTCAGATGAAGGTGATAAAATTATTTTGGTAGAACAGCAGGTACAAGATACTCTGACCAAAAAGCCTATTTCAAAAAAAGGCCCTGATTTGCATATGAATGTAAACGCATGATGTAATTTACTTTAATAGATGCCGCGTATCATTTGAACTTTTGCTTCACTGACCTGGTGAATGAGATACGTTATCTGGTGTTTGCGCCGCTGTTGTCCTGTAGGTTGTTCTCCCTTTTTCTGCAGGAAAATAGGAAGAAATTACGATTATTATCACAAAATAACAATACAAAACTCGTGCTTGTAATTATTTATCCACCCACTGAATTTTCACATTAAAAAAACAAGAATCCTGTCCAACCAGCCAAAGATTTTTTGGCTGGAAGCCTTTTTTCAAATGTTCCCAGCCACAACCATATGAATCAAAAGCATCCAGTATCCTGTTCCTCTTTAATGAAAGACTAAACAAGCGCTCTGCAACAGGGTAAAAGCCTCAACATCAAAAGAATATTCTCCCACCCAAACCTGTCAGACCTGAGCCTACACATGGTAAATATGCAGCCAACTCCCCACAGTGACAGAGATCAGGTCACCTTGCTGAAGGACTGACGGTTCTGCTTCTCTTCTGTCATGCTCTTCGTCATCCACTGCTGGTTGCCGCTCAGCTGGTCGTCTCCCTTGATCTCCAGAAACTTCACCTCCTCTTTGCCTCTGTTTCTTTTCCCCTGCAGCCGCATGAACTGAAGTGACAAAGAAAAAGAAAGTGTCATTGGGGAATTAAATGGTCCCAGCACAATTTTACAGAGTTATTGTTGAACTTATATTTAGAGAAAGAAATAGACAAACACAGTGGAACAAAAAAGCAGTGCACTTCTTACCGCTTCATCATCAAACATGGCAGATTGTCCAGGCTCTTCTCCCTCCTCTGACAATGCAGGGTTCGGATCTTGGTAATATGACTCATCATAGTATTCCTGCCCAAGAAAGAGCAAAGGTTTGGGATGTCATTGGCATGGTGATTGTCCTCTTTGGTATAAATACTGCAGTATGAAGGCCTAAATATGTATGATGGATTATAAATACACAGAAAAAATCCACTTATTTTTTAATGTGTCATTCTTGTGCTATGATAATAAATAACTGCAGGATCATGCATGACTCAGCAGTGAAGGTTTCCATGACAGCACTCAGACCAAATCAATAGTTCAAATAAGGTCCTGATTTTTGGAAAAGCTTGTAATCTTTAGTTTAAAGCCATTCTGAAAAATCAGGTCATTCAGTTATAAGATGCAAAATAATGTTTACCTGAGGACAAGCCTCTGGACCTGTCATGGGCTGCTGATACTGAGAATATTGACCTCCCCATGCACCGGCTCCCTCTTGGCTGCCCCCAAAGTCAAGAGGGGCATCAGACTGACCAGGCTCATCAGCGGCTGCGATAGAAAGAGGCTCTGCGGGGGCTACTGGCTCAGGGTCTAAGCTCGGGATGACTGCGGGAAGAGGCTGGGAGCTTTCACATAGGGAGAAGTAGTTCTGTGGGGTTATTTCCTCCTCGTCCTGGTCGTCGGTGGCTATTTGTCTTGCCACCTGCAGGGCAGCCGACTTTGCTGCTGCTTTAATGGCAGAGGGAGACGCACTAGAACCGAGCAGACCCTGAGCGGGCGCTCCAGGCTTGGATCCTTTGGGTTCTTGTCTTTTAGTTAGTGTGTGGGGAATCAGGGGTCTGGCAAGCTCCTTCACTGTCAGGTTTTTGGGCTTTGGTAGAAGGGCAGACAGGCCTGAGCCCGTACCCTGGAGGAGACAAGATATGGATAGAAAGGGGACCGGTGAATTCAGGGAATCACTGTTGTTTAACTATGCAAATGGATCAGACATCATGGCTGAATTACTCCTGTATTAACTGAAACATTTTTGTTTCCTGTCAGAGAGAGAAAGAGATTTTCTCACCTGAGGTTGTACTTTCTTCTTTGCTGGTTCGTCATCATCAGAATCGGACTATGGACAAGAAATACATAGATTATAAATTACAAACTAATTACATTATGAGCTTCAATGTGACATAATCTCAGTTCTCACATCCTGTCTCTGGATCTGTGGCACGGTGATCTTGACAGGCTCTGTTCGCTTCCTGGGTTTGGGGAGACTGGACAGGAAGCCTCCTTTAGATGACTGAAGATCCAGGTGGTCGTCTGACGCGCAGTCCTGAAGTGAAGGCTTGACTCTTGTCTCCCGGATCGGTCCATCGTTCCTTCCTGCAGATGCAGACTTTTTGGGAGCAGGCAGCAGAGAGAAGAGCCCTCCTGAGCCGCCTCTGCTCTGCGCTGCCGCAGAGGTGGAGGTCTCCTCTGAGTCGCTGTCATCACTGCTGCCATACGCGACTAGAGACATGTTCACTGACGTTATCACAGAGTATTAACAGGCAGGAGCTCGTGGACATGGATGAACACTTCCCCTTGATATGGGATCAAGACGCCGGGCTCACGCTGGCTTTACGAGGACGATTCAAAGTACCAGACTCTCTCATAGAGCCGCAGTGATCGTGAAATAATCCCACGTGGAGCTGTTGTTTTGTGGGTAACAACAGAATGAAGCCTGTCCCAACTTCACAGAGTTAGCTACAACGTTAGCTAGGCCGCCGCGTAAACGATCTTAGCTAACCGACAGCTTCGTCAGATTGAATTAGGCTTCAACTGCTGTCGCACATCGGCTAATGTAGCAGGTACGATTAAACAGCACAAAACGAACACTGTGGTTTGTTGTTACTCCTGCAAATATGTCCAGTTAGTCCCGAGACTCCATCAAAACATTCGTCTCCATCGTTCACGAGCGACGAAACCACTGCGCAGCCTTCCGCGCAACATCATCTTCTTCGTCTGTTTATTTTCCAGTTAATACACAGCTTCACCGCCCCCAGCGGACAGATGTGCAACAACATCAATTGACAGCATGTGGAGGAACAGTTGAACCAAACCAAAACTTTGCTGATTGATTTTTTTAGATTCTATAATAATAATGATATGTAATAATGTTCAAAGACCTCAAACATAGTAAAGATATAATAAAATCAGATATATTCATTTAATATAGTTACATTTCACTGCTTTCAGGAAAACTCAATCAGAAAACTTGACGTGGATAAATATGTGCATTTCTACATCACAATTTTATTTCTGGCGACATGGAGGGGACTTTGAACAGTTGATTGGATAAATAAAATGTGAAAAATTCACATCACTAAAATATTATTTGGGGGTTTTCATCAAATGATCTTGGGGTAGTGATGGGTGTGATAGATAGCATAGAAGGTCACAATCCAGATTCAGAATAATTAAGACATTACTGAACATCTATACAAATGTAAATACACTGGAGTTAGCTGAAAAGCTACTTTCTATTAGCTTTCCTTTTACCAGATGTTGATAGGCCTCCTGCAGTGATAAAGACATTTTCACATGGACGCCTCCTAAATCTTTTTGTTTTTTAAACACATCTACATTTTAACATTTAGCTTTGTTAGAACTCAAGATCATTTTCTCACAATTGGTTAATAAACATGGCAGGATAGGAGATAAGAGTGACAGAGTGACATAGTTGACTGAGAGGAGCTGGAAATGTAGATATTTTAAAACGCAAACTTAAAACCCATCTTTTCAACCTGCTTTCATGTAGAGTTTAATAATTTGCATATTGTTTTTTAGAATGTACACTGGTTTTATTCATTACGATATATAATGGTATATATCTATTTTATGAGCTCTTTCTTGTCTTGTTCTGTTTTACTATCATTTACCTAAATTTCATTCAAGCTGAATGAGTCGCTGTTGTTTTCATTGCGGGTCAACAGGGGGCGCTCGCTGTGCAGCTTCATCAGGTTCTGGGGGCGGTGTCGCTCGGCTGGAGGAAGCGGGTTTTTATTTCAAACCCAAACAGTCCGAAGGGTTTTGCGGGAATAACCGAATAATCTCTGGGTTTCAGCGAAGACGCTGTTGAACCGAACATCGGATCGGTCCCGCTGACACCGGCCCGGGGTTCGCGCTCCTCAGGATCCGCGGGGAAAAAAACCACGAGTCGCCCTCCGCGTCTTCGCTCCAGTTTTTTCGCCTGTGGTTGATCTGACAAACGGACGCTTGTGGCTCGTTTGTTGACTAATCCGCCTTCATTAGCTCGTTTAAAACCACCGCTGCGTTTTAAATACACGTATTATCTGACTTAGCGAAGCCAGAGACATGCCGAGGTCCAACAGGCAGAAGGAATACAAACCTGGAGATCTCGTGTTCGCTAAAATGAAGGGCTATCCACACTGGCCTGCGAGGGTAAGAGCCCCACGATCCATGGATTGGTTTTATTAGCTTTAGCATTTTTGTTTTCATTTCAGAGTTGCTGCCATTTCACCTGTTTACCTGCGAGGCCTCAACCCAGTTAGCTGCCATGAGTTAGCCTAGCTTGGCGGCGTTAGCTAACGTTGCCCAGCATCCACACACACACACAGCCACAGTTAGCCCCCTGCAGGCATTAGCATGTTTCATTCCGTGTTAAACACACTACTCATTAACCGGCACTGCTAGCTATGTATTAGCACTGCTGCTAGCTGCTCTTTGCTACCGACATTACCTCTTCACATGCCACCCAGGTCTCCGGGGGGCCTGTTGGGCTAATGTTAACTTTGAGCCTCGAACAGAGCATTTAAGCTAGGCTGTCAAATAAAAGGCAATGTCCCTCAACATCTGTAACATCTGTCCACCAGCGAGTACACGCTGTACACAAACACGTGCTACAGCTGCAACTTAGCTAAGTGCTAAATGAGTGTTTTTTTAAATGATCTGGTTCATCACAGGCTACACATGGCTACCTGTGTTGCCATATGCTGATCTACTTTGTAAACATTGTCGTCACAGGTGAAATGTGTTTTCTGCTCGTAAAGTTCAGATCACCTTCACCGTGACGTTCAGATCTGCTCCAGGCTTTTCAAACTAATGATATAACAGCATAACGCAATGTCTGGTCCATATAAACACACGCACTCCTGCTGTCAGTGTTTCCTAATCATTCAGCATGAGAGGAAATGTCAACTTTCAAGTTAGTAACTCAGTTTCCAGTTAAATGCAGCCTCAGTCAGAGTTTAATGGATACACATTTAAAATAAGTGTCCCTAAGGATTTGTTGATGACCAAAACAGATATGGAGTTGCACCACAGGGATATAGAGCCAAAGTTACTCATTCATTTTTAGTTTTATAAACAAGCAGCTCTGGTTGTAAAGGAATAACCAACACATTAAGAGACATGTATGGTTCAACTCCGTACAGAAATCTACACCAAACCCTGATTAAATATCTACATAGTGTCATAGTGGTATTTATATTATCCACACATCTACGTGATCAAACTCACATTAATGTGTATATATATATTTAAGACCCTTTTTTAACAGATAAGACAAACATTTCAATCTTGTCAAAGGTTGCAGAGCTAAAAGAAATATCAGACCCTCTCCATATGGAGCAAATTTAAACATTTCTGCCAACCAGGTATTGAAAGAGGGCACATCAGCATTTTTCCAAAGGCATTAGATTTTCAGTTTTGCAATAAACAATGCTGTATTGTATTTCCTTATTCTGCAGGTGAGACTGAGCAGGAAAAGATCACTTTTGGTTTATTAAGCGTGCCTCTAAATGCAAAGTAATGAATGAGTGCTATCACTTAAAGTACTGAAGTGACGGCCAGTGTCGGTCTGTGTCTTTTCCCTCCCTTTTTAATCAGTATTATCAGCCTTGCCTCACTCAGCAGGCCACAGGCCCTGCCCCACCTATCTACACAGTGACCCTATCTGGGGAAGGCCCAAACCGGCAGAGGCCAACGGACGCCATGCTTTGTCATCATAATAGTGTTTTCCTGTGCCTTAAAAAAACCAACAAAAAAACCACAAACAAATAGTTTGCAGGACAGTGGAGACAAAGAGTGAACTGCAAAGAGGAAGCGAACAGCAGACTGACCCCTGCTCTCACTGGGCTCCGAAATGAATGGTCAACAATTTAGATAGTCAAGTAACTTAAAGAAATATTACTTAAATATTTATATATTTTCTGGTTTGACATTTGATTTTTGATCTTTTATAAGCGTAAATTAAATATATAAATGTATTTGGTTTATAGGTCAAAGAAAATAAACTGTTACCTTGAGCACAACCTGTGATGAAGCTTTCTTCAGTATTTTCACTATTGTTTTTAGATAGATATTTATTAATAGGGGGAAAAGTCAACATACTCAATAATAGAAAGAATCCATTCTTGCTTATCCTCCAGAAATGGCCCAGAAAAACCCTTTTGATTGTTTTTGATGAACCTGTGTTCTTTTTTAAGAGGCTGTGGTCTTGATTTTCAGATTGATGAGTTACCTGAAGGAGCAGTGAAGTCGCCCTCAAACAAATACCAGGTGTTTTTCTTTGGAACACATGAGACGTGAGTATATTGTCATTAAATTCAATCCATTTGTCAAATAGTTGGACTCTGTGATCTTTCTTCAACCATATTGAATCTATATTTCAAGACAAGAACTGGCCAGAATCATCACCCATTATCTTTATATAGATCACACAATGAAATGAGTAATTTCTGACCCCACTATAGTGCGTTCCTGGGGGCCAAGGATTTGTTCCCCTACAGTGAATGTAAGGAGAAGTTTGGGAAACAAAACAAGAGGAAAGGCTTTGCTGAAGGACTCTGGGAGATTGAGAACAACCCCACCGTCACGCATGAAGACTATGAGGTTGGTGGATGTTTAGGAGAGGAAGGATAGATGACAACACAATAATCTTCATGTCTGTATAACTAAGATAAAACCATGCTTGTCCAGTTTTCTTTCCTTTCACTAATATTAAAATCTCTAACTTTAGTCATCAAAGAAGGACAACGCATCAGAAGGAGCGGGCGATACAGGTAGTTCAGAGAAAGCAGATGCAGAGGGCAGCAGTGATGAGGATGAAGGTGCCCTGGTCATCGACGAGAAGAACGAGAGGGGAGGCACCAAGCGAAAAGCAGAGGAGTCCACAGAGGTACGTTTTGAGCCTGACGTTTGTACCCGATACAGAGCTTCACATTGTCGAGCTTCATAATTCATATTCGAGTGATCCCTCTGTGACTCTTCCTCAAACATTAATATGTAAAACAAACACTCGGTAGGCATCTCCGAAGCGGCCGAAGGATACAGGAGTGGAAGGTGACAGCAACAAGTCGGAGGCCAAGCTCAACGATGTGGCTGGAGCAAAGGCAACTGCTCCTGCTTCACAGAGCGAGTCAAAACCCGAGGCCCAAGAAAATGCTGCAGCAGGAGGTCAGCTAACCGCAGATAAGGTGAGACTGTTGACCGACTAACTCCTATGTTTTGCAAATCTCCAGGTCCGTACATAAAAGGAATGGGGAAAAACTCGCTAGCTTAGCAGCATTAAGGCTACAAACAACACATCACGCATCAATGTCTGTGTGAGCAGCTGTTGCACTGTGAAGCCCTCCAATCTAAAACTATTAACTAATTGTTTTAGTAGCAGTAACTAATCTAAAAAGCTATAGTTGTGTGAAGTATTTAGACATTTAAGGACCATACCAAAATATGCTGTGACAATTTAAAAGTACATATACTTTGTAGATTGTCAAAAATACTTAAATGAAACAGTTAGAGATTGTAATTATTAGGAATAACTCTCGACTCTTCTCTCTGCAGCCCGTGACAGATAGTGCTTAACATCAAGTCACAAAAGAAAATGAAGAACCGTTGACGCTCGGAGTGGAAGCATCCACTTGGTTCACTGCAGGATACCAGATTTCAGCTGTTTAATTCATAGGAAAATTTTAAACAACCGAAGTGTTTGTATTGAGAGAAAAGTAAATCCTCATTTACCATTTTTGGGATATCATATATCCTGAAACAAAAAAAGTTTGCAAATCTGATTTCAAACAATTGAACTGAGCACTTTAAGGCTCATTTATAAATGGGATTTTGGTGTGTATATATTTTTTATTTCTAAGTGCAATTACATCATTACAAAGACTAAATGCTAGGTGTCAAAACTTTTTTTTTTCATTTTACAGGGAATAAACACTGAAAATATAGTACAAACAAGAAAAGAAATAATTGAAAAGATTTAAATTTATTTGACAAAGGTTCCCATTTGATGGTTTTAAAACATGGATATTGTACAGGGAAAAAAAAAATAATTCACCCACGCTTTCAGCTTTAGTTCATAAAATACATGTTTTACTTTCTTTTATTCCATTTAGCTTCTCAGCCTCATTTAAATCATGTATTCACTTATAGGACATACAATCTGCACTTTCTGTTTTCCCTGCCCCGTTAATCTGACTAGTTTGCTGTTTTTATTCAGCAGGTTTTGTTGCATCATAGTTTGTTTCATTGCAGGTGACCAAATTATGTGATTAATTGCACAGGATCCGACATGTGGCCTGCATGGCTTTTGAACATATATTGAATAAGGAAATATGTAAACCCAATTTCAGAAGAACTAATTAAGGTTTAAACAGTCCCTGTGTACATTTATTAAACGGATGATGATTAAAAGCAGAAATACATTTCTGAAAGTTGATGTGTCTGAGCTCCATCTTGACCACCTCAAGGTGGAGTGATGGCATTTTTGAGGGGGAAAAAATTAGGCCAGCTCTTTATCTGGAGAATCTGGCGAATTTATTCACATCCATCAGTTCAACTCTCGGTTTCTTCTTTTACGATTTCCTGTTCAGCTCACATTCATGCTGCCATTGCCTGATACTGGAGATGTAATTTTGGACAAAAAAATTGGTTTTAACCAAACTGTTTCTTTTTCAGCTCTGAAATACGTATTTGACGTTGTTACCAACATTTGATTAGAATCTGCAGAGTGACCGATGTGTAAATCTGAAGTTTTGGACTTTTTTTTTTTGTTTCTGACCCTTTGAACTGGAACATGGGTCTGTTTTACTTCAGTGGTCTTATTATTATTTTGGCTGTGAAACAAAGTTGTGACGTTATAAATATGTGTTTTGTTCAAACATTTGTTTTGACCTGTTCAAACTTCGATAAATGTGATTAATATGTGGTGTTGTTATTTTCCGCTGTATGTAATTTTTAAGGTACAAGTTGTTTTTATCTTTAAATACTTGGCCTTTTCACCATGTTACCTGGATGTCCTAGTCATTGCTTCAGTGTTCTATATTCGGCAACATGAAGCCACAGTTGATCAAATTACAAATCTTAAGGGAAATCACAGCTCATAAAAGTGAACCAATTTCTTGCTGTTTTGTCTAAGATGGCCAACCACCTTCACCACACCACTGGTTTCAAAATATGAAACGCTCTCAGTTCCCCACTCAGATCTGCTGTTAATTCCGAGGATATAAATTGGTATAAAGTGTAATTCTTGGTTTAGCTTTCTGTGTTACTTTCGGAAGCTGCCATTCATCTTAATCTGCTCCTTAGTTTAATGTTGTAGTTGCCAGTCCATTTAATAAACCAGTTGATTACAAAAACCCTCTTGTTTGTCATGTTTATAACCAATAAATCATGCTTGTGTAATGTTGATGATTCACTTCCTCTGTCTGCAACACACCTCAAATAATCATGTTCAAACCAAACAAGCCTAATTAATTATACATGTATATTTTCCCACTTTAACTCAGGTTACAAATGCATCTATCCCTTTATTCTTATAGTTATGATGGCATACTTCCATATTCCTCAATGTAAATTCACTGGCAGGAAACTGCTTTGTTGGATTCAGTAGGAAGTTAATAAAATATGTTGATTAAAATCATTTTTAAAGCAATCAAAACTAACAGCTTGTAAGAAATGAAATATCTACATATTTTTGAACTTTTAGTTATTTTCATTGTGTTTAATAATTTTTGTACGTGCATGTTGTAAAGCTTGTCGTGAGTAATAAAGAACTTATTCATTATTCTGACCTGCCAAAACTTCAATCTTGTTTTGCAACTGCGCATGCGTGAAGCGAGTTCAGCTCCTCCTGTCCGGTAGGCGGCGCTGCCTGCACACACGAGGTTTAAGCACAGCCGGCTGCTGCATGTGACATTGATGTCAACAGAGGGTAACATCAGCTTGCGTTTCTCATTTTTCCTTCATATCAACATTGTTTGGTAAAATAGACACAGTAGCAGTCCCATCGGAGTTTCACGTGTTTCAGTAAACGGTCCTGTTTGTTTACCCGCAGCAGCGCAACGTTAACGTTAGCTCGCTACCCTGCAAGCTAACGTTAGCCTAGCCTGTATTGGAGACTTTACGTGATTAACCCACAAGCTTTGTTTGATTTTGTCCGTGCAGCAGAATGAGGCTGACCGCGCTCCTGTCGATGGCAGCCCGGGTCATTGTGCCCAAGGACTACCGATACGGCACCAACAGGCCGTGGACTGCGGTCGCTAAACGGTTGAACCCTCCGGGGAAGAGGAGGAGGAAGGTGTTCGTGGAGCCCATAGCGCCGGAGGACTGGTCTGTTCTCAGAGGGGACATGGTGAGAAACTCAACCTTCTTCATGCTCATTAAATGGAAAGAGTCAAGTAAGGTCCCCAGGTCAGATCTCTGAATGGAGACACTTTACTTTCTGGACCACGTCTGGTCATCACACAGACATGGAAGCCATAATATTCAAGCTGTGTAAATATATTGCAGTTTACTTCCATTGTTTTTATATTGTCACTGTGAGCAGCTGTCAACTGAAGCGATGCCTCTACAGAGAATAGTGTGCAACAGTAAATAATGTTGTGAATTGATCACTTGACTTCCTGTAATGTGTAACCCCCCCCCTTGACTTTACAGCAGCACCAGTTCTGCTCGGTACACGTGTGCATCGTTATTCCAAGAGGACCAAGTGGATGTGGCTGCAGGACGTCATATTTCACATATCCCAGATGATGATACAACTCAGAGTCAAAGTATCTGCTTTCGTTTCCCAGGTGGAGATTCTCACAGGGAAGGACCAAGGGAAGCAGGGGAAAGTGATCCAAGTCTTCAGACACAGAAACTGGGTTATTCTGGAAGGACTGAACACAGTAAGGGCGGACTGATTCCCTCAAAGAAAGCTGGACAGACTTTGCTTATAGGACATTTACTTAAATATCTCATATATCGACTAAATCTGTCTTTCTCTGATCAACTCACATTTTTCTAACAGGAAGAGTCGAAGCAGTTTTTTTTTGTGTTTTTTATTTATTACTTCTCTCTACACAAATACTAAGCCTACATATGAACAAACACATAGAGGGAGTTGTTAATTTTCTAATTTCACCAAGTTAACAGACATATTTCAATGGTCATTTTATTTACCACTGCAAAACTCAATGTATTTATTTTCTATTTCCACAAGATGGCGCCAGATGTCTGGGGTCAAGTTTCTTTGGTTGCACTTTGACAACATGAACCATAAAAAGCCGATCTGGAACCATTGACTTCACCAACTTTAAAGTATTGTTCTGTGTTTTAGCATTACAGGTACATTGGACGCACTGCAGGTTATCGTGGAACCTACATTGCCAGCGAGGCTCCCCTCCTGCTGCGTGATATCGCCCTTATTGACCCCTCCGACAGGTACGGCATGTGCACCCATTTCAGGATGTTAACAGCCGAACCACCCAGAAGTTGTGGTCCCTATACTAGAGGATCTTTCAATATTATCTGTATTATGTTTTTTTGTTTTATAGTTGATGTATATTTGATTTATTCTCTACACCGACTAATGCCAGATGAAAACAGTCTTGAAATGACTCCTGAATGTTCAAACACAGTCCAGTGTTATTTAGGTAAATGCACCTGATAGTTGGTATCCTAACTGACTGATTAATCGTACTGACATCGATCCCCAGGAAGCCCACTGAAGTGGAGTGGAAATTCACTGAGGAGGGCGACAGAGTCAGAGTGTCTCTCAGGACGGGTCGAATCATCCCTAAGCCTGTTGTGCAGCGACGAGACGGCATCGTGCCAGAGCAGTGGAAAGGTGTGTGTTTTGATTGGAGGAATAATTCTTGTTACGACCCAAAACTGATGCTGTTGATTCCATGTGCAGTGGCACATAAAACCAGCAATTTCTTTCCAATGTGTGAAGACCTGAATTCCAGAAATAGGCTTCAGAGTGATACAATCTGAGCCTTTGTTTTACTATGGAAAAAATTATTGGGAACTAAAGGACACATGAGGACCACAACTCTTTAACAATGCTGAGCAACTCTCCAGCTAGTTTTTCCAGTGACGCATCATTCCTGTTAATTCGACTTTGTTTTGGCTCAAGCTCCTTTATTCTGACACTGCAGATGTGATTTAGTTTTTCCAAGCACTCCCCTTTTTTGGTCAATTTCAGTAAGTTACAATTGTTTTATGTGTAAGAAAATGAAGAACATTTGTTTGTTACAGTAGATGTTTGAACAACTCTATATCATATGAGCATATTGTTTTACTCTCAGTGATCTGCTTTTGTTTAAACCAAGACTTGTTTTCCTCTCACCCTCGCAGATGGTCCCAAAGACACAAGTCCTGAGGACACTCTAGAAAAGACTTTTGTACCGTCCCTCAAAACGCTGGAGGAGGAGGTCATGGAGAAACTGGGTATTCAGGAGAACAGGCGAAACAGAAGATCCTACTGGTACTGACCAGAGAAAAAGACACTCCCTCCCCATGTCGTGATACTAATGTTTCGCAGCAATTGAAGATACCTTGTTGTTGGTTGAAGTCGAGCTGAAGGATGTTGTGTCAGGATCCAATGTGTTTGGGTAAAATCCTGGTGCAACACACAAATGAATAAGGAAACGATAGCTCTGTAAAAATGCTTGGAGGTTAAACAGATGTGCAAACACAGCTGATATCAAACGTGTAACTTAAATGTTTCTGAAATGTGTTTCTTTATAAATAAATGTCACATTAACTAATCATTTTATTGGCTTGTATTATAATTGAGCTACTTCATATTTTCTAAGAATAACACCACTGAATCACGAGGTATGAGCACCAAGTTTAAATAAATCAATCTCTGAGCTCTTGCTGTTTCCGAACAGTACAGGTATTTTCAGTTATTACAGGTTTGACTAAGCTGCATCAAAGACAACATGCAGTCATTTGGGACATGCTGGATTCCATGAGTCCTTCTGGATCAATAAAGTATTTACCTACCTTCCTACTTTCCTACCTGCCTCCCTACTTACCTTCCTACCTACCACCTTCTCACCTTCCTTCCTACCTACCCACCTTCCTTGCTTCTTACCTTCCTACTTATCTATTGTGTTTCAACATCCATGCGAATTCTTCATTAATATTCATTGGTGCTATTAACAAATAAGATGGAGGAGAAAATGTGAGAAAAGTTTGTAATCCAAACCAACACCCTGAGAAAAAGCAGTTTACTCTGGTTGATACTGATCTTCATGCAAGTTCCCACAATACACTAGCTTCTGTCCCTGAGAGAGTGAATCACTCACGAACAGTCTGGCACTGGAAGACTGTAAAAATTACACTGGTTGCTATTGGCAGGAATAATAATGGAAATGGCTGAATCATTCCCAAGGCTGAAAATAGTCATATTATTTTACAGAAGCCCAGACGAGCTGCTCTCCAAAACTAAAAACCTTTAGACAAATGAATCTGTGTTTCCAACATGTCTGGGAAACGGTGGAGAAGGAAACGTCTGAGGAGGAGACTATACAGACCGGACCGTTTCAACAAATTTCGCTTTGACCTCGTTTGACTTTTTATACGCTGGCATGTAATTCCTTTGATCTGCGACTGTTTTAACATCAGGTTTCAAATATGACCTCACCCATGAATTTATTACCCTACGATGAAAAACGACCAGGGTGGCATGAGAAAAAGATTCACGCTGTATATTTAGTAAGATTTAACTCTTTTTTTTATCCTGCAGATGTGTGTGACTGGGAGGACACCAAGGTTAAACTATATATTATCAGCTTGCAGTTCAAATCTATAATGTCAATACAAGCAATTTTATTAAAGAGTAGTGAAACATTACAGATAAAATTGATCTACAATATTTCAGTTGTTATACACACACATTTCTGCATCTTATGGAGTAGCAATTGTCTTACATTATTAAATTCCTGATTACAAAAGTGAGCTTTTAGAGATTAATACTTTAACTGTATCCAACATTTTTAAACAAGATATAAAAAATCTCGAGAATAAGATGATTGATGTTAGATTTTATTTTTGTAAAATGTAGAATTTCCCATGCTTGGTGACTAAAGTGTATTTGGTGGTGAGGTTCCTGTGGAGGATTAAATAGCATTTTTCACATTTTAAAAGTAATGGCAGCTCATAAAAAAAATCTTACTTCACTTAAAATGTACCACTATAGTTATAAATATATATATATCTGTCAATGAAATGCCCAGCCTTTTTATTTTTTTGAGGTTGTCCTCAGCTGTACTTTTATCAATGATGCATGAGGCAGAGGCGGCTTATGAAATACATGAAGTCTCATTTTCCTCGCTGGTTGACCACGAGTATTGATTTTCATAAAGACTCGAAATTAACTTGTTGCCAGATCTCCAGCTGCAGAAGCAACTAACCTTGTTTCCAGACACTGGCACAAAAAGAAACGATGTGTCACAAAATATATTGCATCAAATTTTCTCAGTGGCGGTTCACTTTCTGGTGGCTGCAGCAGCATCATGCAGAAAGCATGGCAGGGCTGTTGGTTTGGCCGATGAGGGGAGCAGCTTTCCCACACCCGTCTGTCCTGTGCCAGTTTGCCTCTGCCACTCTGCATCCATGGTGGAAACAAAAACCAGCCAGTCAGCGGAAACTGGGATTTGAGGTTTTACTTTTATAGGAGGGAAAATGATTCAGAAGCTGGTCGTCTTTCCTGTCATTGCATCAGTGTTGTATGGATTTTAGTGGAGAGATTTACATCAAGGTGAAGTGTGATGCTGAGTGAAGTAGAACCTTTGTGTTGTTTCATTTTTTTTATTTTCCCCTCATTCACACACACAAAAGCACAGACTTGTGGTTGCTTAGCTTGTGCAAGGTAGACTGAGTCTGAAGAATCTTCTACTTTGTGGTGAGATGACAGTAATTCTGGTCACCCAGTGAAATGTAACCGCCAAACATGACTCAAGCAGAATGAGGGAAAGCATAAAAATAAAGTGGCGGCTGTGCTCTGTGTTTTAGCTGAGTCACACTTCAGCCACGAAAACTAATGAATCCCACCTGGTGGCGTTGGCTGCACGTGTCAGAGTCACCAACAAAGGTGTGATTGTTTGTTTATTGCTGCTGTTGCTGAACATAAAGACGTGATGTTAGATGATAGGTGGCATTAAGCTCTGGATCTGTGATCATCTGCAGAACATCTGAAGACACTTTAAAATAAATGTCAGTGTTGCTCTCGACTGACTTGATCTGAGCTCAGCTACAATATAATGATAGTGTCTAATTACAGGCTGCTTGTTTGATGGCTGCTGGAAAATGTAATGTTAGCTTGTATGCAGGTCTGAGGCATGGCCTGCATGCATGTTTAACTGTGTTTGGTCTAATTTAGTTGGCTCCCCACTGATTCTTATATAGACCTCATTATGTTACAGTTAGGAGCTTTAAAAGAAAGTAAAACACTGCTCTTAGTTTTCCTGCTGGGCTTTTATTCCTTCACCCAAACATGTAATTTGATATTATATTGTATTTTAACACATTTCTTATGGAGGTGAAGTATTTTTGAACATTACATTCTATATTAGTATTAAGTATCATAAAAGAGTACCTCAGAACTTTACTGAGGAACAGTTTTGGAGTAAATGTACTTACTCTCCACCACTGTATGATCTTGATTGTCCTCTGGTGGCTGGCTGCAATACAGTTTATAAACCCTGCCTCCTCCGTGTTACTGGATGAGACATTTACCAAACCAAAAAGTTCATTTGATGTTATAAATCATGATTGACCGCTGAGACTTACTCGTAATTGGTCGAGCACGTTTATCAGAGGGACCTCGATACTGAGGCTTCCTCAATCACGACTGATCCGACTCTGGCTCCAAACGATGTCAAAATGAAACAACCTGCAGGTTCGAGCTCGACGTGATCTTCCTCAGCAGATGGAACCTGTCCAAGTGTCATGGAACTGTAGATGTTGTTTTTTTGTGCATTTTAATGGTTTTTTCTGTCATATTGGAAAAAGAGAAGCAACACAACTTTGACTAATAACTATGCTCCACGACTCTGACGACAAACGGCAGCAGAGTAGGATGATGTCTTCACCGTCAGAGCTGCTGACTGGACTTGAATCCATCCAGGTCACTGTGACTCTGCATCATAGCTGAAGTTGGACTGAAGTACACGTCTGCTCTCTGTGCTTTGACATTTCCCTCTCAGACGGTGCTGCTGGTATCTGGGTGTCACATTCCTCAGGTGTGCAGCACCACCTGTTGCTGCCCGGCCACAGGGCGATGACTACAAAGCAGCATTCACTGTGTCTGTAGACGGCTGCAGGTTCGTACTTCACTTGACCCTGTTTATCTTCTGTGTGTCTCTGTTACACAGTGTGAACAGGTGGTAAAATCCAGCACTGAGCCAAGAGAGTGCATTGAATTATACTGTGTGTGTGTGACTGATGAACAGGTTTCAGCTCAAATCTAAATCTACTCACTGAGATGAGATTGTAGTCTTTATTGATCCAGAAGGTCAAGTGCACATTGTCTATCCCCACTGATGATTCTATCTTTTCTTATTTCTGTTTCGTCTTTACATGACATTTATTGTGCGACTTTCTTGAAGAGGGATCTCTCCCATGATGCTCTTCTTGTTTCGTCCTTTTTCCTTTTGTTTCCTTTTCCAAATCCAATATCCAAGAATCTGTGGTGTCATATGCGACTGTTTATGACTCTCTGACAAGACCATAGACTGTGTATAAAGTTTCCATTTATCTTGTGAAGTATCTTATCGTTAACTAATATAGTATATTCATGGTTCCCAGAGGATGAAGCCTCCATCTCAAAGCCCCTTGTTCCTGAGAACAGCGTCAGAGAGCTGCACGCCCAGCTGCAGAGTCATGGTCCTGATAATTCTTCACGCACTATTTGGAGTCCAACAATAAAACTGCTCAATCTTTACAATTCAACATTTTCAATGTCGACAGGCGTGTTGATTTTTATTTTTTGTCAAGTGGCCTCGTGTCAAATCTACTTTAACATGGTCCATTTCACTGAATACATTTTTTGTTCAGTTTCTTTTCTTGAAAATGACAGGACACATAATGCATGGAGGGAAAAAAAAGGATGTGGGAGGGGTGGAGGTGTGGTCAGAGCTCATTTTTTGCACAGTGCCCCATGCAGGTTAATCTGACCTCGAACTGAGGACAAATACATAATTCTTATTTCTATTCTACAGCATTTTTACAAACATTTTGGCTTTAGATTCTTCTTCTGCCACTAGATCATCAGAACTAGTAATTAATAACAGCATAAAGTTAATTGATGCAGTGTTTATATCAAGAGTATATATTTCTACAACTCTGAAGTGCAGTTTGTGCTTGTAAAAATTTATCTTTGAGACTTTCCCCCCTTTGTTTGTTACTGAATTAGCTGCAGTTAATGGCTTCACTGTGGCACTGCAGAGTTCATTGATGTCAAATCAAACACACCCTGCAGATTAAATTTGGAAATGATGGAGCAGCTGCTGTGTGGTCCGCACACTGCTCATTACTCCAGTGGTGATGCATGCAAACTTGTTCCATGTGATTTTTAAATTTCATTGACTCAGCAGCAAAAGGAATAGGATGAGACATAGCTCCCTCATCCTCATCTTCCTCTTCCTCCTTGAGTAAAAGTGACTGTGCTGCAAAAATCCCATCTGCAGCTGCACCCTCATCCTCCTCATCCTCATCCTGCTGCACTGACTCAACTCATGCATGTGTCTCCCTGCAGAAACATAGGTCAGGCTCCACGTCACAGCCTCTAACATCGCTTGTTTCAGCTGCCATCCCTCCCAGCCCTCCTGTGACAGGCATGCGCCATCTCCCAACCCCGGTAATTGGGTGAAAAAGTGGGCAGTTCAGGATTTCATATCTGCCTCCAATTCCTCTCGACTCCCTCCTTTTGCTTCCCTGAGCCCCGGAGTGGATCGGTCCTCGCTCCCCCCAGCCCCCCCACATACCTGCAGAGCATCCACGGTCTCCTCTCCCCCTCCTCCACAGCCTGGGACGGGACAGTCGCACTGCAGCAGCAGAGACTGGAGGAAAATACTTTTTAACCCGAGAGCTGAGTCCATCCTGCACCAGCTGAGATGCTGCTGAGGAGAATCCGGTGGGTTCGTTTTTATTTCATTGCGGGTTGGGTCAAAGTTTTGATGATGGCGTCATTAAATCAGCCTCTTCATGGTTTATTAGAAGAAACTTCTGCTGAGGTCCTGAAACTGTGGCCCGGTGTGAATTTTAATTTCTCCCAGAAAATGCCATTTGTTCAAATTGACCATGACGCAGTTAGTTGGTTACGTGCAACTTTTTGTATTCTTTTAATTTGCTCATAACGTTTATTCTTTTTCTTTTTCCTCATCAGTCCCTGTGGCTAAGTCTGATGGTTGTGACCATGAACATTGTCAGAAGTAAAAGGATGTTCGTTAACTTCAAATAAACTTACTTCCCTCCACACTTCAGCTCTAATGTATGGAAGAGCATTTCTGCCAGTGACAAAAAAAGAAGATTCATGCTAAATCAAAATTACGAGATAAAAATCCAAACAACCGATGAGATAATGATTCATAATTATCAGATATAAGTTTGAAATGATGATATATGAAGTCTTAGTTATGAGATAGCAAGCATCATTATGAGATACGTTATCGAAATGATGAGATAGAAAATCCATTATGAAATAGTAAGTCTGAGTATGACATACAAAGCCATTATTTTCAGTTAGTAGGTCAAATTATATTGAGTTAGAAAGTCAATGTATTGAGATGCCAAGTATATCAAGTCAAAACCTTTAGGTTGGTAAGTCATTACATTGGGTGACTCATTGTTTGGAGGTATGACATCATTATTGAAGTCATAATTTTGAGAAGGTTTCTCGTTTTAATGATTCCAGGATCCATTGTACTGTACAATCTTTTTTTATTTGAAGGTTTTTTGTGTGGGGTAAACTGAGGATGCTGATGTATTTATGAAGCTCTGAACTGATGCTCCTGTGCCCTGCAGGAGAAACAATAAGGAGTTGGTTCTTTTGTCTAAAGTGCACATTTAGCCTCTCCGGGCTCAGGTGGACCTCAGTAATGGACCGGTGGAGGGTCAAAGTGAGACAGAGGAAAAATGAATGGTGGAAAAGCAGGTTTTTAAAAGATTCCTCTCTGTGCAGTGGTGCGGTGGCTCTCTGGTCTGATGTTCACCTGAAAAGACCTTTTCTATGAGACCAAGTATTTACGATATGAAGATGATAATGATTGAAGATTGTCTTTTTGACCCAGTAAAACCTGAATGTGATATTTTAACATCAGGCAACAGAAGTGTCACTTATTTGCTGCACCTCCTCAGACCTGAATTTCTTTACAGCAAATATAACTCTTATTTGAAGAATTCTCTATATATCATTCAAATATTGACAAGAAATAAAGAAGCAGGTTTAATTTCCAGTCCAGTTAACAAACATATTATGATAAACTGATACTGCAGAATGCTAAGATAATTATATAATTACAAGTCAGTAGATGAAGCTCAACTGGTAATTTTAAGACCCTTGAGGCAAATTAATTGATTTTTATTTGTGATATTAGACTAAATAGACAAAATGAGGCATTCATTTCTTAAAATAGTCCATAAAAAGTCAATAGTCACAACCAGGTGTGTGTCTGTGTGGTTTGTATTGGGCTGACCTGCAGTGGAGTTGTGCAGTCAGGACTGAGATGAGTTTGTTTGAAACATCCCTCTACTCTTTCCCAGGTACACTGGGTGGTGAAGCATCTGGTGAGTGGCTTTGCCAACCATCTCTCTAAGGAGCCAGATGATCGGTTTGTTTGTCATGTCTGTGAAATGTGGTCTGGGAGGTGATGCGTGGCGGCTCTGCGTTTGATGCTCAGAGCCAGGGGCGAGGTGTTGAGTGAAGAGCGGGACATGGGTCAGACAGGGCCACCGAAGTACACAGGAGCCATGTTGAGATAGACATTGAGGACGACTGGATATTATCTGTTGTCAGTATATGACCAAAACCCACATAAGCATAAATAAAGAAATCCCAGTAGTTTTACGGACTTGAGACTGATACAAGTGGTAAGGTTGCAAAAAACGATCCAAGTTTTCCCTAATGATACATCAGATTATATTATTAGAAGATTTCTGCTAAGTATGGGGTGGATGTGGCTCAGGAGGTTGTCCACCAAGCAGAAAGTTGGTGGTTCGATCCCTGGTTCCTCCAGTCTGCATTCCTAAATTTCTTTTGACAAGATGCTGAACCCCTGTGATAGGTTAAAACATTCTTGCCTTGTTCTATATAAAGAGAAATGAATCTTTAAATTAAATGCCTTTTTCAAGAATGTTGTGTTATTTATGTTGCACTTCCTTCCTATCATATATTTAGTTTCAACCCCAATGCGCTTGAGTCAATGAATCTGAATTCAAAAATAACTTGAAACTGGAAGGATAAAGCCACAGTGCTCATGTGGGGAACAGAAACTTAGACCAGAGTGGATTCCTGCCTCGTAAAAACCCAATTACTGATTTCCAGGAGAGCCCTGTTGTATTTTATCACAGACCCATTGTAGCCAAACGCCAGGTCCAGCTCAGCTCGCTGCCCTGCACTTACATCAGTCAAACCAGTGGCTCTGTATGTTTGAACTGGCTGAACTGGGATCATTTTCCGGCTTGTTGGTGCAGACCATGTTCGCCTGGTGTGACCTTGAGTCAGGCTGCAGCAGAGACCACCCACAAGACTCATCATGGAAGTTTTTAATCTTCAGTGCAGCACTTACAGATATCTCAGCATCTACTTGTGTTTTCCTTGTTCACTTCTACGTCTTGTATTAATAATTAAAGCTGATTAATTTATTTTCACCCTGATTTTCAGTGTCAGTTTGTTTTAGCTCTCTGTGTCTGCAGCAGGAGGAGACTGGATTAGTTCTTCCAGTGGATAATGCACTGGCTGCAGTTTGTAGATCTGTTAATGCAGCGCGTGGCATTGATTTTTAGCTTAACTTGCCTTCGTTGTTATTCACATTAAAGAGAGCTGAACTGCAGAGCGCCTGGTGACGGCGAGAGCAAAGACGAGCTCTCAAAATAACCAGCGGCAACCAGATTATCTCCTCTGCACAAACCCATATGCAAACATACTCCCTCAACATTTATTCCATGTGAAAACAGTGTGCAGTGTCTTAATGTGGCCTCTCCCTTTGAGCGAAGCATGCTCATTCTTCGTGGTTCAAAACTTCCTTTTCTAACCCCTGAAAAGAGTGAGAGAAAAGAAAGAGAAAGAGTGAGCAAGTGTGCCAGTGCCCTGTCCTTTAATTTCGCCCTGGGCCTTTTGTGCGGGAGTCGGTATGAAGTGAAAGCACAGTGTGCAGCTGTCCTCCTGGCCCACTGCTCGCTTTCTGTGAGCCGTTCTCTTGTCAAGAATACTAATAGTGATACCAGCTCTGTGGAGTCCACCCAGCTGGTGAGGGAAACAGTTGACAACTATTCTGCTGTCAAAGACGACCATTTAATTCATATGTCACAGTTAAGTGAGCTGTGTTTGTGCTGACTCCGTGCGAAGGATGCTTTTGATTCACAGACGCAGAAAAGGCTCAAACTTATCGGTACTTTTTCAACTCCAGAGATTCTGATCTTTTCTGTTCTTCAATTTTTTACCTTTCACATCAGAGAAAAGAGCTCCTGATAAACGTGTGTCACTCTGAGGCTCATAATGAGGCTCATGTGTCTCAACATACTGTCATCTTACTGTATCTCCGGTAGAACAGAAATGGACAAGTTTGGCACACACACACACACACACACACACACACACACACACACAACGTCCTCTGTACGCAGTCTTTTCAGCATTTGCCCATCAAGAGTTTTGTTGTGTCGGTGGAATCAGCTACAGTAAAACTCTGCTCTGGGGATTCTTTGTACAGAGTTTAAAGCAACGTGGCCACAAATATCCTTCATTATCCTTTTCTCCTTCATTAGCTTTCCCCCACACTCTCTGGTGCTTTCACACATGGAGCAGTGACAAAACTCTCAGCATGCAAAATAAAACAACCTTTTTTAAGTACTGTCCCATAATGCAATGCACAAAGGAAATGGAGGAGTGGCTGCAGCTGGGAAAAGTTAAAACTAATTGCTCCAAGAACACCTCAGAAAAAAACATGAGTATCATATTTTTAGGAAAACATGTTAATGACTCTTTGTTAAATTTAATTTGCAACAGATTTATATAATGGCAGATTAACTGATACCACATGGTGCATAATTGTATTTTTGTTATGTTTTTTTGTTGATTTATTTGATACTAAGAATGAAATCTGTATACTACAAAGATACACTATCGTGTACAATGAGTGTATAATATAGATGTGTAGGTTGTGTGCCCTACCTTTTACTGTTTTTCCCTAATAAGGAGAATTAGTTTGGACTTTAATAAAACTGTCTAATCCAAATTAATCTCGTCTAAATCATCTAAT